CTACCTAAACTAACACAAACTGAGATAGAAAATCTGAACATACCCATAACAAGAGAAGAGATTGAAAGGGTGATTAAAAACTCCCAACAAAAAAAAAGTTCTGGCCCAGATGGCGTCACTGGAGAATCCTACCAAACATTCAGAGAAGAGCTTTCCCCAGAACTACTAAAACTATTTCAGAACATAGAAAAGGAAGGAATACTTCTGAATTCATTCTATAAAGCAACCAAAACTCTGATACCAAAACCAGGCAAAGACACAACAAAAAAAGAAAATTACAGACCAATATCTCTCATGAATATGGATGCAAAAATTCTCAACAAAATTCTAGCCAATAGAAATTCAGCACCATATTAAAAAACTAACATACCACAACCAAGTGGGATTCATACCAGGTATGCAAGGGTGCTTCAACATCAGAAAATCAATCACCATAATCCATCACATAAATAAAACAAAAGAAAAGAATCACATGATCATCTCAATCTCAGTCGATGCAGAAAAGGCATTCAATAAGGTCCAACACCCATTCCTGATAAAAACTCTCAATCAGATAGGAATAGAGGGGGAATTCCTCAACATAATAAAGGGCATCTATACAAAACCTGATTGAAGTTACCAAGGATTTCATTTTACTTGGATTCACAATCAACACTCATGGAAGCAGCAGTCAAGAAATCAAATGACATATTGCATTGGGCAAATCTGCTGAAAAAGATCTCTTTGAAGTTTTAAAAAGCAAAGATATCATTTTAAGGACTAAGGAGCGCCAGACCCAAGACATGGTGATTTCAATCCCCTAATACGCATGTGACAGCTGGACAATGAATAAGGAAGACCAAAGAAAAAATGATGCCTTTGAATTATGGTGTTGGCTGAAGCATATTGAATATACCATGGACTGCCAGAAGAATGAATACATCTTTCTTGGAAGAAGTACAGCCAGAATGCTCCTTAGAAGCAAGGATGGCAACACTTCATCTCACGTACTATGGACATTTTATCAGGAGGGATCAGTCCCTGGAGAAAGACATCATGCTTATTAAAGTAGAGGGTCAGTGAAAAAGAGGAAGACCCTCAACAAGATGGATTGACACAGTGGCTGCAACAATGGGCTCAAGCATAACAATGATTGTGAGGATGATGCAGAACTTGGCAGTGTTTCATTCTGTTGCACACAGGGTCACTATGAGTCAAAACTGACTCAACAGCACCTAATAACAAAAACAACATACAAAACCAACAACCAATATCATTCGCAATGGAGAGAGGCTGAAAACATTTCCCCTGAGAATAGGAACAAAACAAGGATGCACTTTATCACCACTCCTATTTAACATTGTGCAGGAAGTTCTAGCTAGGTCAATAAGGCAAGAAAAAGAAATAAAGGGCATCCAAATTGTTAAGGAAGAAGTAAAACTATCCCTATTTGTAGAAGAAATGATACTATACATAGCGAACCCTAAAGACTCCACAAGAAAACTACCTGAACTAATAGAAAGATTCAGAAAAGTAGCAGAATACAAAATAAACATACAAAAGTCATTTGCATTCCTATACACCAATAAAGAGAACGACGAAAATGAAATCGGGAAAGCAATACCATTTATGACAGCCCCTAAAAAGAAAAAAAAAACAAAATACTTAGGAAAAATCTAACCAGGGATATAAAGGACCTATATAAAGAAAACTACAAAACACTACTGCAAGAAACCAAAAGAGGCCTACATAAATGGAAAAACATACCATGATCATGGATGGGTAGATTCAACATTGTGAAAACATTAATTCTACCCAAAGCAGTCTACAAGTACAATGCAATCCCGATCCACATACTAACAGCATTCTTTAATGAGATGGAAAAACTAACCTTTAGCTTTATACAGAATCGAATGAGGCCTCTGATAAGTAAAACATTATTGAAAAAGAAGAACAAAGTAGGAGGCCTGGCACTACCTGACCTTAGAATGTACTATACAGCTACAGTAGTCAAAACAGCCTGGTACTGGTACAATGACAGACATATTGACCAAGGGAACAGAATCGAGAACCCAGATGTATATCCATCCACCTACAGTCATCTGATATTTTGCAAAGTAGCAAAGTCCATTAAATGGAGAAAAGACAGTCTTTTAAATAAATAGTTCTGGCAAAACTGGATGTCCTTCTGTAAAAAAATGAAACAGGACCTATACCTCACACTGTACACAAAAACTAACTCAAAATAGATCAAAGACCTAAACATAAAACCTAAAACAATAAAGATCATGGAAGAAACAATAGGGACAATGCTAGGGGCCGTAATACATGGTATAAATACAATACAAATCATAACTAACAATGTATAAACACCAGAACATAAACTAGATAACTGGGAGCTCCTCAAAATTAAACAATTATACCAACCAAAAGACTTTACCAAAAGAGTCAAAAGAGAACACACAGACTGGCAAAAAAAATTGTGGCTATGATATATTAGACAAAGGTCTAATCTCTAAACTCTATAGGACGATCCAATATGTCTATAACAATAATACAATCCAATTTAAAAAATGGGCAAAGGATATGAACAGACACTTCACCATAGAAGACATTTAAATGGCTAACAGACACAGGAGGAAATGCTTGTGACCACTAGTCATTAGAGAAATGCAAATCAAAACTACAATGAGATACCATCTCACCCCGACATTACTGGCACGAATAAAACAAAACAGGAAATAACAAATGTTGGAGAGGTTGTGGAGAGATTGGAACTCTTATGCACTGCCGGTAGGAATTCAAAATAGTACAGTCATTTTTGAAAATGATATGGCGCCTCCTTAAAAAGCTAGAAATAGAAATACCACATGATCCAGCAATCCCACTCCTAGGAATATATCCTAGAAAAATAAGAGCCGTCACATGAATAGATATATGCACACCCATGTTCATTGCAACATTATTCACAATAGCAAAAAGATGAAAACAGCTTAAGTGCCTGTCAACAGATGAATGGATAAACAAACTATGGTACAAACACAGGATGGAATACTAAGCGATGATAAAGAACAATGATGAATCTGCAAAACATAACATGGATGAATATGGAGGGCATTATGCTGTGTAAAATAAGTCAGTCACAAAAAGACAAATACCATATGAGACTACTATTACAAAACCACAGGAAAATGTTTCCACATAGAAGGAAACAAACTTTAATGATTACAAGTGAGAGGAGGGGTGGGGGTGGGGGAACACTATGTTATAGATAAGTGGTAACTTGGGTGAAGGGTAAAATAGTACACAATACTGGGGAAGTCAGCACAACTTGACCAGGCCAAAATCACAGAAGCTTCGAAGACATATCCAAACTTCCTGAGGGATCGTATTACTGGGTTGAGGACTGGGGATCTTGTCCTCAGGGGACATCTAGCTGAATTGGCATAACACAGTCTATTAAGAAAATATTCTACATCTGAGAGTGGTTAGCAGTGTCTGAGGTCTTAAAAGTCTGCAAGCGGTCATCTAAGATACATCTACAAGTCCCATCCCAGCTGGAGCAAATGAGAATGAAGAACACCAAAGACCCCAGGGAAAGATTAGTCCAAAGGACTAATGGACCACAACTACCATAACCTCCACAAGACAGAGCCCAGAACAACAAGATGGTGCCCCATTACCACCACTAACTGCTCTGGCAGGGATCAGAATAGAGGGTCCTGGACACAGGTGGAGAAAAATATAGAACAAAATTCAAAATTACAAAAAAACAAAAACAAAAAACCAGGCTTGCTGGTCTGACAGAGACTGGAGAAACACCGAGTATGGCCCCCGGACACCCTTTTAACTCAGTATTGAAGTCACTCCTTGAAGTTTCATCCTTCAGCCAAAGATTAGATGGGTCTATAGGGCCAACAATAGCACACGTGAGGAACGTGCTTCGTAGTTCAATTCATGTATAGGAGATCATTGGGCACACCAGCACAAAAACAAGCACCAGAAGGCAAGAAAGGACAGGAAAATGATGAATGGAAATAGGAAACCCAGGTTGAAGAAGGGAGAGTGTTGACACATTGCTGGGTTGGCAACCAATGTCACAAAACAGTTTGTGTATTAATTGTTTAATGAGAAAATAATTTGCTTTGTAAACTTTCACCTTCAGCATGATTTAAAAAAAAAGAGACAGAGAGATAAGGTCAAGGATGAAAAGCCAATGAACTAAGATTGGTGGATAAAGGTGGGGAAAGATTGCACTAGTGATGATCCTGTCAAGCCCTCCAAAAACACCTGGAATCATGCACCAAGCTTCTGGTCAAGTAAGGAGTAATTTTTTTAAGCTACAGTTAATCAGATTTTCTGTTCCTTCCCAAAGATGGGATTAACCAGGGACAATAAAATGATCTCTAAACAGGTGATGACTAGGGCCCTCACTTATTAGACCATAAAATAACCTCTTCCTGGTGGAGGATCAAACAAGAGGTCTATAATACAGAGCAGTCAACAGAAGGTCCAGGTGCTAATCTTATCAGGTTGCCATGAAGAAAAAAGAGGAAAAAACAGAAAGGCAGTAGGACTTCTCTTGGCAGAGAACCAGAGCAAAGGCAGCTGTTACTTATCATGAACACACTAAAGTTTATCACACCTGTGACACACCCCAGCTTATACAGTTCTTTAAAATGTATTTGTGTGTGGGTGTGCATGTGTGTGCATGTATATGCATTGAAGCGGTGCCTCCACGGCAGTACCAAAGGGTATAAAACATCTTTTCCTGGTTATTCCTTGCAGGCCTTGTCTGAACTTTCTGGTGAGTGAGGCTGATTTGCGCCATCCTTCCTACTTCTCCAAATTCCTTCAAAGAGATCCATGCTTCTTCTTACTGACACTGCCTTTCCTCCATCCTTTCTTTATCAGGGACTATCCACTTCTCATCTCCCTTCCCTCCCAACTACTCTGGAGCTCAGAGATCTCAGCTTCTTCTCATCTTTCCTTTCTGCCCCAGGACACTGCCTCTCTACAGGATGAAGCCTGCCTCTTGCCTCCTTCTCATGCTCATTCCCCTCTTCCAGCTGATGATCCCAGGGGATGCTCAGTGTTCCTTAGATGCAGCTGTGGATAAAAAGATAAAGGCAGCGCTCAACAAACTAGGTAACTGATTGGAGCTGAGGAGGGGGAGAAGGTTAATCTTTGCTCATGCCTCTATTCCTAAACTTCAACTTCTCTAACCCATCCCCAGATTCCAAACTCTAATCACTCCATTTAGCCCTAATCTTCCTGCCCAAGGTTTTCTCTGCTGCCCCAATCCTTTTTGGACTCCTGGCTAAAAGCTCAGGTTTCCATAGTGATGATGATGATGATGGTCATGGTGAAAATGATGGTGATAGTGACGGTGGTGATGATGATAATGGTGATGGTGATGGTAGTGGTGATGGTGGTGGTGGTGGTGATGGTGATGATAATGGTGATGGTGGTGATGATGGTAGTGATGATGATGGTGGTGGTGACGGTGGTGATGATGATGATGGTAATGGTGATGATGGTGATGGTTATAGCTACAAGCTATGAGCACTCACTATGAATTAGCTATAATGCAAATCTTTATGTTGATTAGTTCATTTAATTCTCATGACCACTTTATGAAGTACAATTACTACTTTAATTTTACAAATGGTAAAACTGAACTTGAAAGTCTTAATTTGCCCCAAATCTCACACTAGAGAGTAGCCTGCGTGGGGACACAGTGACCCCTCTGATGTAGACGAGGATTTAGAAGGGGATTATGGGAGGGAGAGATCATAGGCAATACCGCTCTTTCCTACTCAGAATATAAGCCCCCTGCCCTAACCCAGAAGCTCTTGTGTGTCAGTGTCACTGCCTCAGGCAAACTGGCCTCCTGCCCTGCATGTGAGTAACTTCATGAGGATGAATGGCTGTAAGATGCCCCTATGTCCTCCCTTGTCCATACCCAGCACATACACCTCCGCCCCATCTCAGGTTGTATGGCCCTGGATTGAGTCACAACCCTAGTTCTCAGAGATCCCTTACCCATCCTCAGTTCCCTTAAGGATGCTTCTGAGAGATCTTGGGTTTCTGCCTCTTCCTTTTCCTCCCTCCTTTCATGCCCTCAAATGCCAGCCCTTCACCCCCTCAGTTGCCCTATCATGTCACCTACAACTCCCCCCCTCCTTTCATCTCCCTTCCCAATCTATCCCGCTGTTTTGGTGGGTAGGTGCCAACCCAGAGATGGATTTATCATGAATCTAAGGGAACTGAAACTCCCAGGCCCCCCATTTCATGGGTCTCTTCAAAGACCCTATACCTAAAATTTGTTTTAGTAATTGTTGTAATTATTTTTTTATTAAACAGGGGCCTCAAAATTGAATTTGCTTTAGGCCTCACAAAACTTAGACCCACCCCTGGGCTGTACATGGATGAAAGGTGTTTATCTAAGGGCTCTGACATCGTGTCTCACATGCTCACACAGACATTGCTGCCACTGGTTGTGCCTGTGGCTACGCCTGTAGTTCCTGGGATGTACAGAGGGAAAACATGTGCCACTGCTAGTGCAGTGTGGTAGACTGGACCACAGCCCACTGCTGCCACCTGCCCTGAGAGGGAAGAAGCCGAGAACCCAGTTTTATCACATGAAACCACAACCCCAGCCAGGAAACCAGACTCAAACTGATTTCTCAACCCAAGTTCCTTCATTTGTTGCACTCCTTCTCTGTAGGTAATAAAAATCTTTGCACCTGTCTGTGTTTATGTCTTTGGTGTTGTTTCCCCTGGTTTAGGACTCCTGTAGCCAAGGAATGCTTCTGGAATCCCAATTATTCCATCTTAGCATGGCACATGGGATGGTGGAGGGTAGAGAAGCTGTAAGAAGGAAATGGGGAAAATGGAAAACCTGAGATTGACGCCCCAGCCCCTACTTCTCTCGTTATTTAACAAAATGCTGATGGCTCCATGCCTGGCATATTTCTTGTGCTAGAGGTACAGAAAAAAACAACATGCATGCCCTTTGGAACTTACCAACAGGACAATGGGCTCCTCTGCCTGGCAGAAAGACTTTTCAAGGTGTAGCAGGCAGGTAAGGATAGACGTAAAAAAGAATCAATTGCTAGATTTTAGCTTCTATAGGTGCTCCTTCCTAAGTTTATCTGCCTGAGGTCTGCTTTGATCCAGGTGACTCCCTTCACCATTGCCCTTCCCACGCATAACAAAAGAAAAGCAAAGCCTTACCTGTCACTGAATCTCACCACAGTGCATCACCCTGGGGTATAAATCTTCAGATACTACACCAAGGGGTGCTTCAAAAATATTGGTGCCCATGTTGAGTTTGTAAATGATCCAGTGACTGGTAACAAGTTCTTTTACAAGTCGGTAGACCTCCGGTTCTTGACCTTCATACTATCATAATCTAGTTGTCAAAGATAATTTTTAGTAGTAATAAATCACAGTGTGATTTTTCACAAATAAGTCAAAAGGAATTCAAGGAACTTGAATGACATTACTACAAAAAAACTTTTTTGTAAATACAGTAAAACTTTTTTCTCCTTTATATCTACTTAATTATGAGAAGTAAGTATCTCAACATGTACAACTATATAAAGAAAAAAAGGAATATAATTATTTCTAAACTCTATCTCATTCTAGTATTATTCATCCACGGGTACATAATCTACTTGGAAAGAAAAGCCCACCTTTCTCATTGAAGAAATGCATTGCCAGAATACATTGTTTCTTTTTTATTAATTACTTATCACAGTTTTTTATAAATGTTTTGTTGAATTGTGTGCTATTAATTGCAAGAATAACTCAACACTCTGTATAGCAGCTACAGTGAGCCTTTTAAAATATAAAAAAGGTCATGTCACTTGCCTTTCCAAAACAGTTTAGTGACTGACCATTACATACTTTAGTGACTGACCATTACACATAAAACAAACTCCCAAGTATTTATCATGTCTGGAAAAACCCTGCATCATCTGGCTGCTGGCTGTATTTCCGACTTCATTTCTGATCCTTGCCCACACCTGCATTCTAAGTATTCCTCTAAGTCATGGCCACCCTCCAATCTCAGGGTCTTCCTGCTGTATATTCCCCAGATAGCTACATGGTTCCCACATGCAAGATCATTACTCAAGATGTTTCTGAGAAGTCTTCCCATCATCTCTATTCTCTTGCCCTGTTTTTTTTTTTTTTTAACTTTTCTCAGACTCTAGACACACACACATATATATATGCACACACACACACACACACACACATATATATGCATGCACGCACACACATATATAGTTTATTAATGTATTAACTGTCTCTTCCATTGGAATATGTGTTCCATGAAAGATGAGAGCTTGTCTAATTTGCACATCATGGAGTCCCAGCGCTTAGAGCAATGCCTGGCACATGGAGGAGCTATTAATATTTGTTGAATAGGCAAATGAGCTAATCTACTTACCAAATCCAACTTTGAGTATGAGTCAGCTCTCTCTCTCTTGCTTTCTATCCCTCTTCTTTTACCTTACTTTTTCCCTGGTCACTGAGGGACAAGCATTATTTTAAATGGAGTTCTTGGGTCCCATTCTCAATGTGTGTAGAAGAAATAACTGTTCATCAGAGGGCACCTCTGGAAAAGAAAAGCCAAAGGGTGAAGATTGAGGCCAGAGAGGTTGGCAACAGCAGAAGCAGAAACCAAGGTTTTTAGCTCTGACTGTCACAGTTAGTTGCCCATCCAGTGGTCAATTTCCCCTTTTTCTGTATTAGCAGAATCCTGATTTCATTCAGGGTAGCAGGGTGCCCAGTCCTGAAGGATAAATTACTGTTTAAGCCAGTGATGGCATCCCTGCTCCTCTTGGCCATATATTCACTTTCCTAGCCACCTTTGCATGAGGTGAGGTTGAAGGAGCATGTGACCCAAATCAGACCAAGAAGACAAAAGGAAAAATATGCTTGGGCCTTCTGAGAAAGATTTTGCTTCCTGACTAAAAAACAAAGACTCATAATTGAAAGGCTTTTGTCCTGACCCTTCTTGCTTGGGATGTTAGTGTGAGGATGAGATGTCTGGAGCTGTGGTAGCCATCTTGTGACCATGGAGTAGGGTCAACCATCTTACGACCTTGGAACCAAACCGTAAGAATGATGAATCAGAAGGAGGGAAGGAACCTGGACTGTAATGACATTATTGAGCCACTGAACAAATGCTGGAACCATCTAACCTACATTTCTTCTTAAGTAGATAGTAAATGTTATTTCTTTTCTTTCTTTAACAAATATTTATTGAGTCCTGCAATGTGGCAGTCACTGAGATACACTGGTGACCAAAAGAGACAAATATTACCACCTTCCTAGAGCCTCTATTCTAATTTTAAGCCTCTGACAGCTGGGATTTTTGTTACTTTCTGTCTTAGTTATCTAGTGCTGCTGTAGCAGAAATACCACAAGTGGGCGGCTTTAACAAACAGACATTTATTTTCTAACAGTTTAGGAGGCTAGAAGTCTGAATTCGGGGTGCTGTCTCTAGAGAAAATCCTTCTGTCTCTATTGGCTCTGGAGGACTGTCTTTGTCGCTTTTGAGCTTCTGCTCCTTGGTGATCTTCATGTGGCTTGGCATCTCTTTCCTCATCTCTGCTTCTTTCATTGGCTTGTTTAATCTCTTTTATATCTAAAAAAAGATTGATTTAAGACATACCCTACAAAACCCATTCCCAAATGGGATCATAACCAGAGGCATAGAGGTTAGGATTTACAACACATAATTTGGGGGGACATAATTCAATCCATAACATTTAGTCAAGGACAATGTAATGGTATGTAGGCAGATGCCAGAAGGGCCCTTAACTGAACACACCTTTTCCACCTCTTCCTGTTGAAGAAATGAACAAAAGGCCTATGATGAGAGATGTACAGAAACTTAATAATTCCTGACCAAGCAGATGCCAGGCTTGTGAGACTGCCAAGAACAAAGAAAAGGGGAGAAAAAGAAAGGCAGAAAGATTTCCTTGGGCAGAGAACCAGAGCAAAGGCAGCTTATACTTCTCAGGACACACATTGAAGATTGTCTCAGGATCTTTCTGAAGGCTTGACCCTCCTGATGTCCCCCAGGTACTGCCAGAGTGTTTGCTGGGGAGGGAAGGGAAAGCCTTCAGGACACGTCTCATGGTATAAAAAGTCCCTGCCATCCCAACCTCTGCAGCCCTGTCCTAAACCTGGCTGGGTGCATGATGCATAGCTTTCTCCTGATACCTCTGTCTCTCATGGATGCTGCAGAAGACCCAGGCCAATCCAGCACCGCTGCTCACGCTTCCCTGCTCCCAAGGGTGCCTATTCCTACTTTCCCTTCTTCTTTCCCACTCTGGACCCATGAATATTTTTGTTGTTGCTGTCATGTCTTTTGTTTGTTTGTTTTCATCTTCTCTCCATTTTTATCTTCAGCCCAGGAAATTGGCTTCCTAAAGGATGAAGTCTTTTTATCACCTCCTTCTCCTCATCCCCTTTATCCAACTGATGACTTCAGGGGCTGTTCAGTGTTCTTTAGGCTCATTGTGGATGAAGAGATAAGGGCAGCTCTCAGCAAACTGGGTAAGTGATATTTGAGGAGAGAGGTTAATATCACTGATTCTCAACCCTATTACTAAACCCCAACCCATTTCCTAACCCATCTCCAGGTCCCAATCTTTAACTGGGAGGTTCATCACCAAATTCCCTGTTCTCTCCTTTAGGGCTCTTCGAGCTGCTGGTGATGGTGGTGATGAAGACTGTATCTAACATTTTTGAGCACTTACTCTGTGCTAGGCACTGCTAGGTGTTTTATTATTAGGAAATCCTCACAAAAACCCCATGAGGTAAACAATATTATCATTTCCATTTTACAGAAGAGAAAACTGGGGCTTAGAGAAGTTAAATAATTTTCCCAATATCACACAGCTATTAAGTGGCCTGATCCTGGACACAGTGACTCCTTTGTATGAGCATAAAGGTGATATGGGATTAGGGGACGGCACTGCCCTGGGAGGGACCCTGTTTTAGTAATTCCTCTCTCCCACAAGTTGAAACTGAAGAAAAGTAGAACAAGTCCATGAGAGCCAAAGTATGACCTTGAGTATACCCCACTTGAATTTAGAGACCATCTCAAGAATAGATTTGATGCATTGAGCACTAGTGACTGAAGACCAGACAGTGGTGCAAGGACATCATGCATGAAGAAAGCAAGAGGTCATTAAAAAGACAGGAAAGAAAGAAAACATAAAAATAGATGCCAGAAGAGACTCTGAAACTTGCTTTTGAACCTAGAGTAGCTAAAGCAAAAGGAAGAAGTGATGAAGTAAAAGAGCTGAACAGAAGATTTCAAAGGACGACTCAAGAAGACAAAGTATTAAAATGACATGTGCAAAGGTCTGGAGATAGAAAACCAAAAGAGAAGAACATATTAGACATTTCTCAAGCTGAAAGAACTGAAGAAAAAATTCAAGCCTCGAGTTGCAATACTGATGGATTCTACAGGTAAAATATTAAATGAAGGAAGCATCAAAAGAAGATGGAAAGAATACACTGAGTCACTATAG